CCCCCGCCCGCTGCCCGCCTCTCTAACCCTCTATTGTCCTCTGTCTCTGTCCCACTCCTCCTCAGGACGGGTCACATGGCGCGTTTGAAAGACAGGAGCAGGAAATCCTCCATTAGACCGGACCACAATGCCTCTTCCTCTGCCCCGCTCCGCCTCCCATTCACCCCTCCCGCTCTGCTGCTGACTCCTCCGGCTCCGTCACTATAATCACGATATCATTCTAATTCTGCTCTGAAAGCCACGAAAGCCCATTAAAATGTCAATAGAGCTGTGAGAGAGTCCTGAGAGCGGGAGAAGGGGACGCTCGCCGCTTCAGGCTCAGCAGACACGCAGGTGTTGCTCTGCAGGGAAATCAGCGGCGTGTCAGGGGGAATTAACCTCCTGAGCGCGGCAGAGCTTTAGCTGGCGTAAGAATAGCTATTGTTTCCTGTTCTGGCGAGTACAGTCTGTTTTAAGATGAGAGAGAGTAAGAGAGCGGTGCTGATCCTCACCCCGCAGCACCCAGGAGTATTAATGACCGCTGCTGGATTACTGCACAATGCAAATCCTAACAAGTTCAACAAGTGCAGCGCTGATGAAAGACAGAAAATATAAAAGTAAACTCAGTCCTGTTCGTCCAGCTAAGCTAAGCTAACCGCTCGCTCGCCCTCTCTCTCTCTCTCTCTCTCTCTCTCTCTCGCTTCACACACATTAACTCCAAAGCCAATCAAACGGGCGCGGGCTGGATAATCTGTCACACAAACAAATGCCAGCATGCACACACTCACACACACACACACTCACACACACACCATGTATAAACACACGTGGACATACTTTTGTGCAGTGATTTCTAGCAGGCAGTGGAGCGTGAACATGTGAGTGGATTTACGGATGGAAAATAAGTACAGCACGCACACACACACACACACACACACACACACACACTCGAAGGCCTTGCCATGACCTCTGCATATAAACACTGATTCAAGCAGCCAAAGAAATGCCTCCCTCCCTCTCTCTCTCTCCCTCTCTCTCCCTCTCCCTCCCTCTCTCTCCTCTTCCTTCTCCCCTCCCCTTCCCTCTCTCTTCTTCCCTCTCCTCCTCTCTCGTCTCTTCCTAGTGGCAGTCGTCTACCTCTCTCTTCTTCTCGTCACCTTTTCTCTCTCTCCCTCTCTCTCTTCTCTCCATCTCTCTATCTTTTCTCATCTCTCGTTCTGCCTCTTGTCTCCTCTCTCTCCCTCTCTTCTCCCTCTTCTCTTCTCTCTCTGCCTTGGTGAGCGGTCCAGCGGTCTGCAGTTGTTCTGCTCGTGGCCTGAAAGAGAGAAGTGCATGACAGGATCTGATAAGAGAAATAGAAGTGTTCCTGAACTCGCCGAGCCACCCACTCAGGATTTCTCCTTCACGTTCTCTCCGTTCAGAGCGTTTCAGGCTCCAGTCGTTCTCTGACGCCGGGTCGTGCTGTTTAAAAGCTCAAGGCTCATTGGCTGTAACAGCAGCGTGGGTCAGCAGCTGGACTGAGCGGTGAAGGTGCATCACTGAACGTCACCGACCTCATGACAGAGCTTGTAAAATAGTTTTTTAATTCACTGACGGAGCACGAGAGTTTGCCAACAGACCGGCCCTCCTCTTTCTCTCTCTCCCCTTTCTGTGTTTTATCTCACCCTCCTCTGACACTCCCCCATCTCTCTCTTCCTCACCCTGTGGGTCAGCGGGCCCTGTGAAGGTCACACTCTCTTTATCCCGGCGCCATAAAAGAGGTCATATTTCTTCTTGCCGCCGTCTGCAGACGAGGCTCAGATGGGCCGTGGGCTCGGTGCTGGAGGGTGTTCTGTGCTGAGAGGTTGTGGTATGAGGAGAATGCCCACATACCAGGTTGTTTTCAGGGGGATGGCATTGGAAGGGAGGGGTGGGGGGTGGGGGGCAGCACAAAACAGCCTGGCATCTCAAGGCTTCGCAGCGTGCAGAAAGGTCGCTTCATTCAGCTGCTTCAACTTCTGAGTTTCCCATGGTGCTCTCTGATCGGTTTAGCCGCTAAGCACCGGTTTGCATGTGTGTTTGTCTGTGTGTGTGTGTGTGTGTGTTTCCCATGTCTGTTAAGCTCATGACCTCCTTTCACTTCTCCCAATTAGCATATGAATCCGCCCCCTTCACACACACACACACACACACACACACACACACACACACACACACACAAGTAGGCCAGAGTGGATGGAGGATGGAGGGAAAATGGAAAAGGCGAGTGGAGAAAAAGTTTGTCCACCCAGCCGAGTGTTTACCCAACACAACCCAGTGTGTGCACAAACTTCAGCTGTGGCCGGGTTCAGTGGGGCATTAAGCTAAAAGAACAGCAAACGCATATCTGCAGCATAATCCGCCCATCTGAAGTCCTGCAGACGTGCGGCCCTCGCTCACCCGAAGATAACCCCGTCCGTTGTGTGGACAGCCTGGTTCTCAGACACCACCAAAACCCCCCAGTGCAGCCCTGTGTGGGCCCTCCGGCAGCCTGTCGGGCCCTGGCGCTGCACCCTGTTTGTGCAGGTGTCTGCCTCGTTGACCATCCCATCAGCTGCCCTTCGCTTAACCACTGGAGAAAGAGGCGGCGAGGGAGGGAGGGAGGCATGGAAACATCAAAACGACAGAAAAATGCTGAAATCTCTTCACGCCATTTTAGCGGCTTCATGCTGGTTTTGAAGTTTTGTGTTTAGACGAGAAGGAGGAGGAGAGGAAGAAGAAGAGGGAGTTCAGTCGTTCACAAAACAGCCTCAAAGTCCATTTAGTAGGTGTTCTGGAGCTTTAGATCATATCACATGATCTTCATCAACAGATGGAGTTTGCCCACTGACATGTAGGTTTTCAAACTTCTTGTTCTTGTAAGTCGAGTTTCAAAGTTCCTTCTTGACCTCAACACATTTATTTTTTTTTTGTACATTTAGGAGACGAATTTCATCAGGATCATTTTCTGTGGTCACGAACCACAACCACCACACAGATGAATGAAGGGACAAGGCTGAGAAACACACTGATGTTTTTTCCAGTTTAGCCGTATTAGCCTGGTCTGAGTGTCTCTCATTGATCCGGCCGACACCTGAGACAACACTGTCTCCTTTCAAGTGGGAGTGGATGTTAAATCGCCTCAGATGCATAAGAGAATGTGTTCGGAGGTTTTTGAGAATGTAAGCCTTCATGCGATTGGGGAGGGCGGTGTTTTCCAGGACAGACGTGTAACACGATCTCCCTCTCCCGTCACGGGTGAGACGACAGACGCGGTTCTCAGCCGCATTCACGAGCCGATCTCTCACTCTGACCCAAATGTCAGAAACCTCTGTGATGTGAGCCAACCACACGAGCCGCATGTGGGACTGTTTCCTGTGCAGTCTCACAGCGAATGTATATGTTGGTGCGACTGTGTGCGGGTCTTCAGGACGCCTCCCTGTCTTCAGCTCCCTGTATTCATGAGCTACTACGGTCCCACGTACAGTTTACACGCCAAACACGCTCTCATGCAAAAAATGTTCCAGAGTTGGGTGGGCTTACTGTTTTTCTTGGTTTTCACACATTTTAAAATCCCTCAAGGAAAACTGTGAAAGTCCCAGGGAGAGTTTACACGGCTGTGTTTGTATTCTTTTAATTTGGAGATTTGTATTTATTTTCCCTTTGTCAGAACAGTGTGTATGAACACTGGGGTGTGTGTGTGTGTGTGTGTGTGTGTGTGTGTGTGGCTGTGGAAGTAAACAACTGAATGAATATGGCCGACTGGACCTGTAGCTGGTTTATCCATTTGTTGTTGAGGTGTTTGTATGAACTTCCTGTAGATCCTCATCTTCCTCCTGTTAAAGGAAGTGTCTGACATTTTGGGAAATGGGCTTATTTACTTTCTTGCCAAGAGTAAGATAAGAAGATTGACACCACTCCCATATGTGTTTGGTAAATACAGAGGCCAGTTAGCTTAGCTTAGCTTAGCTTAGTGTAAAGACTGGAAATGGGGAAACATCTAGCTTAACTCTGCCCAAAGTTAAAGCTCCATGTTTCTTCTTCTTCTGTGTTTTATTTGAAGTGTTGATCCATCAGAAGATATAAAACCATCTCAGTGTAGTTTTACATCTCCTCCCTCAGGCTTCTCTCTGGAGCTCTAGTAACAACAGGTCGGTGAGCCAATCAGAAGAGAGGAGGCTCTGAGCCTCTCTTCTGATTGGCTGACTGTTTTCTGAGTGAGCCAATAAAAATAAAGCAGATTTCAAGTAAAAACATTCAGAGAAACCAAATCCTGTAAAGGTTTGGATGGTGGGTCCAGGTGGGCGGGGCTTGGTGACTGCTTTGTTGTGACATCACAAAGTTCCAGAAGTCCTGACGGCTGGTTTTAAGGCTCAGTTTCTGAATACAGGCTGTGTGCATTTCTCTGTGGACTGAGGCTTTGATACTTTCACAGTATTAATATAGAAGCTAGAGCTGATCTATAATCACACTACACATGGACACAGACCTTTACACTGGAGAGGCTTTAATGAAGAAAATATCTGTGTGCATTTGTTTAATCTTTACAAAATCCAGATGTTGTTGCCTCTGGACAGAGTCTGCTTGTCTCTCTTATGTTCAGCAAGAAATCAAATCAAATCATTTCCCAAAATGTCGAACTATTCCTTCAACATTTTCAAACAGTCTTATCTGGAATGGCACTCTCTTCCCTTCCAATCCATAACACTAAACTCCTCACAATGTATTGACATAGTCCCTAAGTTGGTGTGTTTCCTTTGTCTCTGATAATGGACCCCTGGCCCTAAATGTCAGTGTGTATTTGCTCTGTCGGGGGGGGGGCTGTTGAACGTTAACATGAGCTCACACACTCCTGGGATTTCTCTCTGTCTCTTCATATGTTTTAACGTGATATTCTTTCCTCAGCTAGCAGGTAAGTGCAGTCAGTGATATGGCTTATGTATGTGTGTGTGTGCGTGGGTTCATACATCCATCCATATATGTATGTGTGTGTGTGTGTGTGTGTGTGTGTTGTGTGTGTGTAGCTATGCTGCCCAGCCTGGTTCTGCACCGCACTTCTATTCGTCCGTACCAGAGGGGTCTGTACTGCAGTGACTCCAGCCTGAATTACCCCTACAAGAACAGCACCGTCCCCTCCTCAGTGCTTATTTCTGTTGGGTTGACACTGCCCGCGGTGTCCGTAAGTCCCCCACCTCCCCCTGCCCCCCCCCCGCTTCCCCCCCACATACATACACACAAAGAGTGTCAGCCCGGGGGAACACTGAGGGCAGAAACAGGGAGGGCTGGAGGTTCATGGCGGCGGCTGCGACGTAGTGGCGGCGCTCCGGGAGAGTCAGTAAAGTTGATATGATATTATTCTCATGTCAGAGTCGCATCTGAAAGTTTGTCACTACTTTGCTCTAAGCTGCCTGTACATGACACCCTGAAGCCCCTCCCACTTCTGCGGTATCCCATGATCCCCCGGTGCCAGCATGCTCCTTGTGCTTCGCTCGTTCTCTCTGTTTATGTCTGTGTCACTGACCTGGTGCTTTTATGCTTTTTCTTTCTCCTCTCCCTCCTCTCTCTCTCTCTCTCTCTCTCTCTCTCTCTCTCTCTGTGTCTCTTGTAGCTAGCCTGCCTTTCCTGATCATTGAGACTAGCACCATAAAGCCGTACCAGCGCGGGTTTTACTGTTCGGACGAGTCCATCCGCTTCCCCCATAAAGACGGAGACACCATTAGTGATGCTGTGCTTTGTGGTGTTGGCATTCTTATTGCCATCTTCTCTGTAAGTCACACCTCCCTTTGTTTGCTTCTTTTAGTCTCATTTGTAACTCAGACTCTCAGCTAACGTAGAGCCCTTCATCAAAACGTCTGAGTGGTTTCTTATCATGCAGTATTTTCTAAAACACTCCAGTGTGCCGCTGTGAATGTCTAAATGTCTTCCCCCTCCACTCTGTAATGTTCTCTTCATCATCCCTTCCTCTTCTTCCTTGAGTCACCAGCCGTTTGTAATGGCCTGTTGTTTTATTACTTTGCTAATCGACCCAGTGGCCCTTGGCCCCCGCAAGCAACATTAGGAAGTGTGTATCTGTGTGTGTGTGTGTGTGTGTGTGTGACGCATGCATGCCAGAGACCAAAGGGATTTCACGAGCTCCCGGTCCATTCTCATACCCTGCGCCGTGACTCCGTGCCCTCTGTGCGGCGCACGTTACCGTGGGTGACTGTGCGGCTGCTCTCTCCCATGCCCGCAGTGATAGCCTGAGGCGTGTCTCCGGTCAGCAGCAGCACAAAGCCGCCATTCCCACGACTTGACTCTCGCTCCGGAGAGGGAACGGCACACATGTTTGTGCCAGCAGATTAGAGACGGGGGTCAGGGTTAGTGGAAACATGTGATAATGACATTAGGAGGGTACGTGTGTGTCAATTAGTGCCACGTGGTCGGGCTAGATGATCTTTACAGCCCCCAGACTCTCAGTGGTAACGGCCCCCTCATAAGTTCCCAGACTGAGACGTCGCTTCACCGCCGTCTCCTCGCCACCAGCGTGGTGGGCACACACACACACATATACACACACACACACACACACACACACACAGTGTACCACCTCGGCTCCTCTGCTCATTGGAACCAGGAGTGTGTGTTTGTTACTCCCCTCACATGTTCACGTGTGGGCAGAGCTGGCGTGTCTCACACAGCTGTGTTCCATTAGTGGCGTCTCCTGCCATGCCGACACCATTCCTTTAAAGCACACACGTGCACGCTCAGTCATTCAGGCGTGCACACACACACACACACACACACACACATATATATGATGTATATGCACACATATACATGCATTGGTAGCAGATTCCAGTTGGACCTCTTGTTTATCTCCACTGTGAGGGAAATCCCAACAGGCCGTGTTTCCACTGTGAGAAACACAGTTAGACAGAGTTCCATAAGCACACACTCTGAAGATCCAAATAATCCCATCAGCCACCTCCTGAGCGCCGCGGTCGAGGCAGAGGAGGGTGGTGTATCTGTGGCGGAGCGCGTCTGCTCTCAGGATGGCCAGATAAAGAAGGGGAGGAGAGAGGTCTGAATGCAAATAGTGACAACACAAATAAACTTCCCCGGCCTGTATCAGCCTCCTGGGGTTCTAATCTCCCGCTCACATCAGAACAATTCACTGACAATAGCACACACACAAACTAATACACCTCCATGTTTGTTTCTCCTGGCTGTGAGCCTGCCAGCTGACCACCCAATAGGCAGGATAGGTGTGTTTATCAAGCCTAACAACACACACACACACACACACACACTGAATGCTCCAGCAGTAATAGGATGTCTGGGGAACACTGAGGCGTCATGTGTGTGTACATTTACAGTCAGTGGCGGGTGTCCACTGGCTCGGAGGTCTGTTCCTGAGAGACAGGGTGAGGACAGGCCGAAGAGTGAAGCCTTGTGCGGATGGAGGAAGGAAAGGGAGATGTGGTTAGTGGTGGAGAGCGGCAGGTCTGTCAGTCACGTACCCCAGGTAGTAGAGATATGATTGACATCCCCCCTGCCTCCGGGGATGGCTTGGTATAAGCCCCCTCAGCGCAGGCGAAGTCTTTTCATGGGGCCCAGCGCTACTCAAAACCACCTGTAAGGAAAACCCGAGGATCCAGGGTTCACCTCTCGGTTTCAGCCTCGTCGCCTCCTCGTATCAGAGTCGGGTCAATCATGATTTAGATATTTACCCAGATTGTTTCCATTGGTCTCATATTTTCCCCTTTTCCATTGCCTTTACTCTCATTATCCTTCATATCCCACATAACCCCCCCACACACACCACCATCATGTCACTGAGCAGAGCGTCACCACTCCTCAGTGATCTCACATCACATCCAAACTGCCTGACGGAAAGGCAGGCCATGCTCATTCTGTCTGTTTGTCTGTCAGTCTCACTCACTCTGACTCTGCTGTCTGTCCTTCACACACCATCTCTTCTCCACCCGCCACGTCAGCCTGGAATTACATTAGATCTCCTGCATGAAACACACTCAGACGTTACTGTTGTACTGCATGGTTAATCTGCATCTCACTGCACGGTACGACCGTACGATTTAACAGCATCAAACAAACACATCTTCTCCTTTAGATTGTGATTGGGGAATGCTTCAGGATTCACCAACAACGTGTGGGAACCAAGTCGTTTGTCGGGAACCCTTACGTCGCAGCCCTCTACAAGCAGGTCAGTGCTTTTCACATTATCACATACACAACTGACCGTTTGCTAAAACCCGCTGTCCAAGCTGCGTGAATGGACTGTAGTAAGAGCAACTCTCTGTATGCTGTAAGTTTGGATGGTGTTTTTATTTTTAACCCTTTCCAAAAACCAAAACTACAAGAGCTAAAGTGCAAGGACTGGATTAATAGTGCGCTTGTCTGCTCTCATGCAAGCCACAAATGTTAGCATGTCAAGCTAACTAGGTCACTTCATAGGCCGAGTGGCTTTTCATGCTACATTATTTTACAGTAGTACATCCAGTGTGCAGTGTGGTATCAGTGTGGATGCTACTACAGGCTAATGTTAGCAGCTCTGTCCTGCGCTAGTGGAATTACGGTCAATTATAAGCATTTACACTGGTGCCATGTCGATGTCATTGACGTGTGTCGTCTGGCAGATGGGCGTGTTTCTCTTCGGTTGTGCCGTCAGCCAGTCGTTCACAGACATCGCCAAAGTGTCGGTGGGTCGTATGAGACCACACTTCTTAGACGTGTGCAAGCCGGATTTCTCCACCATCAACTGTTCGCTGGGATACATCACCAACTACACCTGCGCCGGTAACGAGAGTGACGTTCAGGAGGCCAGGTGCGTTTCAACACCAGTACATACTGTACATTATATATCTATATCTATATTTATATCTATATAAAAACTGACTGAAGACAATCTTTCTCTCCACAGGAAATCCTTTTTCTCAGGACATGCCTCTTTCTCAATGTTCGCCATGCTCTACCTGGCTGTAAGTAACCGTCACACCCTCTGAACATTCACATGCAGCACACACACACCGAGAGCCACAGAAACACACACTGTAGAGGGAGTCATGGAAATAAGGCCGGGCTCTCATCTGAGGATTCACTGGCTGAAGAAAAAAAAACACAACATTGTTCTCATGCACTCGTTCCCTCCTCTGCTCCTCCTCTGCTCCTCCTCTGCTCCATCTCCTCATTCAGTTCATGAAGAGTTTTATTCTCCTCTTCACTCCTCGGAGAGACGGGTGGATGAACTCCACCTGTTCTCTTCAGAGCAGCTGCACACGCACTTCCTGTCCTCTCCCATTTCCCTCCATCTCTCTCTCCACCTGTTGTGGGTGTCTGGTTGGGCTTAACACCCTCGAGGCACTTCATGCTTCAAACACACACACACACACACACACACACACACACACACACACACACACACACACACACACACACACACACAGAGACAACTGCCACTCATCTCTTCCTCTGTTTACACACCACACTTTTCATGCTACACTCAGAGTCAGGGGATGAAGGGGGAGGAGAGTCATTGTTTTGGGTCTGGCTAGCTCGGGTTTGGTTTTCAAGGTGGTCCTGGTTCTCACGCTGGGCTGACTGCTGCAGCTCTGGTGTATTGTAGTGTATTGTCATGCAGTGAGAGCTTGCAGCGGGTATTTCCCAGCCTCTGGTTGAACCTACAGCTGCACTCTGGTCAGCCCGAGGAAAAGAGATGAATAAGAAGCAGAGAGAGGGAACGGAGATGTGCTGCGTCCAGACCACAGAGCGACACAGAGACCAGTGTTCCAGCTGCGGCGAGCTGCGGACCGTAGCCAGAGGAGGCGGCTGCAAACAGAACGAGGGAGGAAAGGAGGAGAAGTTTGTAGCTGATGTTTTGGAACATGAAAACCCGCCTGAAACGAAATCCCACAGTGGCAGCGTTCCTCGTGGAGACAAGAATCTGCGGCTTGTTTTGTTTTTTACCAGCTGAAAACAGTCATGTGACAAAATGTTTTCAGTCACAGAACCTCCCTCCGCACTTCGAGGAAACACCCACAATCCAAATTAAAAATCACAAGAGCATGAAGTTGGATAAACTTTAAACTGCCAGCTGTGAGTGCATGACTCAGCCAATGAAAACAAACGTAGAGATGATGCATCTCAGCCTCCAGATCGCCAATAAAAAGACTGTGTGAGCAAATGATGTAGAACTATTCCTTTAAATTATTCTCTTTCTTCCGGTGGAATGACGTTTGACCATTCCTTTCTGCACTAGACATCACCGTCCCCCTCCCCCGTCGCTCGACCACGTTAAAGTGTCGTTTCCACAGTGTGGCTGTCACCCCCCCCACCCCCCCCAGTCATCTGCTAATTGGCACTCTGTGATTTTGAAGCACTTCATTTCCTGCAGAGCCGGTGTGAGCGCTGCGTCTGTGACTGATGTGGTCTGAGCTGAGACTCAGCAGCCGACAGAGAGGACACACAGACAACTGGCACAGACCTCAGCGCACGCTGTGCAGCTAGCACCGCAGCCACAGGGCAACACGTGTACGAGTGCATTCATGCATCCTGCTGAGCTGACACGTCCACGCACATACTGTCCAGTGGAGAGGAGCCGGAGGAGCAGAGGCTGCAGATAGCATGTTGTTGGATTAATAAAAGCCAACATGTTTGTTCTATAAATGGTTGTAACCACAGCTCTGCCTTTGTGCCACAGCGAGCTGTGACCCAGAGGAGTGGAAGGGGAGGGGGCAGGCGTGTCGACCGAAGCCTCGCTCTCATTCTTCCTCACTTTGTTGTGCTGGCGTGTGTTTTCTTTCTTTTAACACCGACTTGGAGTCAGACGGAGGGAGAAGATCTCACTGGAATGAGCTGGATTCCTTCACAAACCACCAGACTCTGTGTCGCTCTCGTCTCCCTCTGTCATGGGAATCTGCCGGGACTCCTTTTGTTGTCGGGTTTTATTGTTGTTTTCCTCAGATCGAACTGTTTAAGACAGACAGCGAGTTTCTGGAAAACTTTCAGAAGACTTTCAGAAGGCTCAAATGCCTGATTCAAAGAGGAGGCTAGCGTTGCACTCTCAGAAGGTCATTAACCCTCTCAGCTGCTTATCGTGACTTTGCTTCTGTTGAGTCTCATGTTATGTGGGTTTACTCGCGGCCCTGCAGTTAGATAGGCCGAGTTGATTGGCGGGTCACTGTAGTTCGAGGGCTCTTTTTCACCCCTGCATCCTCCATCGAAGCTCTCTTTAAATTGAGAGGTTCGGGCCGTGGTGGACATCAGACAAGAAGTACTTACCAGGAGTCCCTGCCACCCGTCACCTGAGAACCGCTGCAGAGGAAGCCTGAAGTCTAAACATCCCTGCCAGGGAGGAGAGAGCAAGACTGGAGGGGATGGGAGGGATCGCTTCCTTTGCTTCCGAAAGGAGAAGAACAATGATAGAGTGTCGTAGAGGAAGTGCGAGCGAGCTTTACATCCACCACACCTACCCGGGGCTGGTAGTGAGCGGGGGCTGCCGGGTGGCGCTGCGGTGGTCTGTCGGTATTGTTAGCGTAGCCTGATTATAAGACACAAGTCTGGAGGTTTGGGCTGGGCAGACCTCGGCTGAGGCCGGCCCTCCCAGGCCCTCTGTCTCTGGGTGTGAGAGACAGGAAGTGAAGGGTATGAGTGGTGCAGAAACACAGGATGTCTGAGAAACCTGGGCCGACCTCACGCTCCGCCTGGAGGAAACCAGTATTTTGGTATTTGTGCTAGTGACTTAAAGTGGCCTTGGACTTAGTTGTTCCTGTTTCAGTTCTCTCCAGACTTCATCATGAAAGGGGGGTGCATCCACTTTGTCTTCTATTTACTCTAATAGAGGGGAGAGAGTTCATCCCAACAAAGTCTGGAAACATGCAGATTACATGTACATACTGTGTGTGTGTGTGTGTGTGTGTGTGAGGGTGAGTGCGTGTGTAGCAGTGGCTCTCTGTGGTCTGCTGTTTTTACAGCTGGGGTGTTGGATCAGTCACATCCGGGTCTCAGGCAGCGGAGTGAGTGTGTGTGTGTGTGTGGAAGAGACTCTGGCCAGTCTGCCCACTCTGATTCAGTCTAGACCTCTGAGACAGTAATAATACACACACACACACACACACACACACACACACTGCAGGGTTAAAAAGGCAATACAGCATTTTCATGACATTTCCAGCCAGGTGTGTGTTCAGGGTTGGGGGCGGAGCCATCAGTAGAATGATATGGATGACATGTTTTACATCACAGACGCTCTGACCGACCTCACCTGTGTGTTCTCCTCTTCTTCTCGCCCTCTCTCTCCAGTTCTATCTCCAGTCCAGGTTCACTTGGCACGGCGCCCGTCTGCTCCGCCCGCTGCTCCAGTTCACCCTGTTGATGATGGCATTTTACACCGGCCTATCACGCGTCTCCGATCACAAGCACCACCCGACTGACGTCCTTGCAGGCTTTGTGCAGGGAGCCCTGGTGGCCTACTGCATAGTGAGTGCAACACAGAAACACAAAGACACACACACACACACTGTCTGTGACGTGCACCTTCTCTTTACCTGAGCGACGGGATCCCACTGAGTTTCCCTCCACGCTCCCTTCTTCCACTCTCCTCCTCTTTGCTTTGGCTGAAATGGAGCAGGCAGTGAAGTGAGGAGAATCTGATTCCCTTTAATGAATAACACATTGCTTAGAGTCAGGAGTGTGTGTGTGTGTGTGTGTGTGTGTGTGTGTGTGTGTGTGAATCCATGCTCTGCAACCTTCTTCACTACTTCTGTGACACATCGTCGCAGCAGTTGCCAGATGATTTTCGTAACCCTGATCATTACACTAAGCTGCACGGAGCCAAGGAAAATTGAATTCGGGTTGAGAGGAAAATAGAGGGAGTGTAAAAAGAGAGAGAGGGAGCAGGGGGAGAGAGAGGATTAGCCTTTGAAACAGGAATGAGGCTGTTAATTATTTTGGGTTTTTTATTTGGCGGCTCTGGTTCTATCAGCACAGCAGGCTGCAGCTAAACTCTGCTGCCTCTGGGAAAAGTATGGAAAGACACACACATACACACTCACACACACACTCACACTCACTCACACACACACACACACACACACACACACGAGACCTTTACCTTTCTACAGGGTCCAAATCATGAACGTGGAAAAGATTAGATTCATAAAATTCAGCAAGACCTTAGTAGTGGCGCCTAGGCAGATCTTGGCACAGCTGAAATACACACACACACACACACACACACACACACACACACACACACACACACACACACACACACACACACACACACACACACACACACACAGCATGGCTCTTGAATACCAGGATTACTGAAGGATCCGAAATGAACCCTGAGCAGAAATCAGAGCAACAATAGACAGTAACAGTCAGCAGCTCCCTCAGCTGGGCGTAGCTCCTGGACGACATCAGCTTTGACAAGAAAAAAAATAAAAAATAAAAGAATGTTTTCAGGAATATGCTCAGTGTGTGAGCCTGACCTCTGCATGGGCAGATCTGGCAGGAGGAGGGAAGGGAGGGAAGTGACAGCAGAGAGGAGCCTTGTCTCCATCTTGGCTCGAGACGAGTGTGGGCTTAATCCAACTCAACTATTCCACCACCCTCACCGAGACAGCTCCACACACACACACACACACACGCAAACGTAGTCAAACCCCTGCCGATCACGGCGCTGAGGTTACTTTTACAATCCATGACGCCCCTTCTGATTGGCCCGGTCTCGGTAGAAACACACATCTGTGAGCACTTTAGCTCGGCTGTTGGAGGCTCTCCGTGAGCAGCGGAGCAGAAAGGACCTGACAGGAAGATGAGTGGAAGCACCAGAGAGGAGGTAGAAAGCCTCTGTGCCTCTGAGCTGCCAACAGTAAGTACTAAATCAAAGTGTGAACGTCTCTAAATCTCGAGTTAACAAGTGCAGAGGTTCAGTCGTTGTTCTTTTAAATGTAAAGTTTGAAATGGAAGAACAGAAGCTCGAGTTCACACTTTGAAATCATGTCAGAGGGAATATTCTTCAGCACTCTGGGATGTTTCCACTGAAACAGTCTTTCAAACGTCTCTGCGTCATTTTCTCATGAACAACGTCCGGACGTGATTCTTCTCTGCGTTGTCTGGAGTTTCACACTCGCAGCAGGAGATTCTCTGCGTCAGACGCTCTGATTGGTTCAGGTGAGCGGTGGCGTGCAGGAGGCAGCAAGGAAGCTCCTCCAGGTAACGTCTCCATCAGTTCAGTACGGTGGCCCAGAGAGCTCAACAGACAAGACAGAGAAAACACAAATTCAGAAAACATCTTCAATATGAAAACAATATGAATTTTATTGATTTATCTTTCTATTTATTTGTATATTTCCAGCTGTTTTACTGATATTTTATTCAATATTTTCGTTTTAATAACTGACTTTTATTTTATTTCTACTTTTGTTTTTGGTTTTATTCTCTTCCAAACATCTCCTCTCTTTTAGCCTTTTATTAGTTTATCTTTACTACTTTTTATGTGATTTTTAATATCTAACTTTCCATTTATGGTTTGATTCACCACATACATTTGTTTTAATATTTTTATTATTTTATCTTTATTACTCTTTCTTTATCTTTGCTTTCCGTCGCCAGGGTTTTGTTGCAGTGTGTTGAGCTCTCAGGGCCACCGTAGTTCAGGGGTCGCAGTCTCATCAGATGTTTTTATGAAGCAGACACAGTTGATATTTAAGAGCCCCACGGCACCCTGGGTAACGTGGTCCATTCGTCAGTCTCCAGACACTGACACTTGTCACAGACACAAAACGTGGGTCTCTGATGTGCCATCGTGAACGTCACATGATGAGTTTTATGACCTTGTGGAAAAGTGTCTTCCTTTCCAAACACATTTCAGTAATTGTCTGTAGAGAAGTGTGTTGTTGCATGACTTTATTGTGTCTGCTGCTCCGCGTTTCCCCAGGCTGCAGTTTACCTCCTCAACCCCCCCACCAGTGCCAGTAAACGAACAATACAAACCAGGGACAAGTGTGGACACATTCACATGTAGTGACGTGTTAGACTGAGCATTTGTGGACTTTGCTGTGAGGGAATTGTTGAATTTAACCCGGTCGGTGAACTTGATGATGGATGATGTCTGAGTCAGATACATGAGGAATATGTAGATGTCTGTTTCCACTCAAACTGTGTCTGCAGGGCTGTGATCCAGAAAATGGAGGGAACCACGACAGGAAGTGGTCCATCTGTCCTACCTGGCGCTCGCTATCAGACGCAGTGACCCAGTTTCCCTCACGTGTCGGGACGAAGGTCATGAGGAGTGAAACCTGCAGGAAGCAGCTGTCAGGGAGAGAAAGCTGGTGCAGCGCTCGCTTGTGTTTTCACAGGTTCACTGTCACCATGAAGGGGGGGGGGGGGGGTCAGGAGGAGGAGGAAAGAGGATTCAGTCCATCCCTCACTCCAGTTTAACCACACATGGACACGGGGGGGGGCTTCAGATGCTGAAGCAGTGTCTGTGTGGTCAGTGAACTTGTGTGGAGGCAGGAAGTCGTCTTTATCTCTGCACAGACACAACTCAAGTCTCCAAATTTGAAAATTCACATCAAAATGCCACAGTTGTTTTTTTTAAACTAATGCACAAATACAATGAAACCCTGTGACACGTGTCAGTATGTACGCTGTGATCAGGCCTCTGTTCTCTCAACAATATATATTCAGTGGCATCTTTTGACCTACATTGGTGTGAGTGCAGTTACTGTGTGGTTAGGCTGCATATTCATATATTCCTCCGTGGTTTCATGTGCGTGCAAACAGAGCCAGTGTAATTCTTTGATTCGTGAAAGGGGGTCTGGTGAGTAATGTGCTGGTTTTTTCTTAACGATATTTACAGCTCCTGCAAATTAGTGCAGCCACTTCCTGTGTTACTCGTCTTCTTCATGTGTCAGGCGTCTTGATAGAAGTTGAGGATTAAAGACACAAACTCACACACACTCATTGACACAATACATCTCCTGGCCCATTACATCTCACCTGAACCTGTTTTGTTTCTGTCGAGTCTGCATCACTCAGCACAATAGGCCTGCCTGTGTGTGTGTGTGTGTGTGTGTGTGTGTGTGTGTGTGTATAGCAAGCACAGGAAGTGGTGACTTGTGATAAGCTTTCCACCCGGGCAGGTTCAGGGCGAGATGGGTTGGTACGGAGGTTGGGTGACGTGGACGGGAAACGAGCCTCCAACGTCGAGGCGATTCTCAGAGATGTGACTCATGTCTCTCTACACTCCTATAATTATATCATATGTAACATACAGCACCATATATGACGCGCTGGACGCTCTACACAGACTAATGGCCGCAGACACAAAGAGTCCTTTTATAAGCATGAAAGCAGCTGCGCGCTGCGGAGGTATCTGTGTAGGTGTGATGTCATCCCTCAGTCAGAGGTCACCAGTAAAGGTCATTTTATGGTCAGTAAATGTCAGGCTGTGATAGAGGAGATTGTGTTAGTGCCAAGCCCACCACTCAGAACGGGACAGTCTTTGTCTTATAAATAGATCTCTGACTGTAGGACGGACTCTTTCTGAGAAAACCACAGAGGAGCTGAGCTGCTCACTTGTGTTTGTTTCCCTGAGGACGTTCCTCTGAGAGATTGAATGGCAGCTTCCTCCCTCCTCATCTCCCTGGCACAGGCCTCGCCCTCCACTGGCACGGAAGGAAAAGCTGCTGCACTGCCAGTGATATGTGTGTGTGTGTGTGTGTGTGTGTGTCTACAGCTGAAGCCACTGCTGCTCATGAGTGACCCCCGACCTGTGTGAGTGGAAGCGGTAATCCGCCGCTACAGTGGACAGTAGATTCCATGGTCCCACTTCCTGTCCACTCCTGCCCATTTTCCTGTTTGACATATGATGTCATCAGGATCTCAGGAAGAGATTTCTTTTCTGCCTGTTTTCTCTCTCTCTCTCTCTCTCTTCCCTCGTTTACCACCAGTGCCAGGCAGAGTGACCTCATTGCTGATGTAAAAGGGGGAATTCACCCCTGGCATCATTAAACAGAGGATTAGACAGTGTTTACTAAATGTGATTGTGAGCTATAGTAAGATCACTTCCTCCAGCCTGATTACTCAGTGTTGCCAGACTGAACAAAGTGTTGGAGAAGGAGGTGATAGAGAGTTCCTCATCAAGTCTCTTGCCAGCTCACGGCTGCCTGCAGACAGAGGAACATGCAGGTGCCTATTCCCATCAGCCGTGTTCAGACCTGCCGCTCTGTTTGGCTAAAGCAAATCAAACCAGATGGTTGAACGAGCTTTATTCAAATGACGGCTCCGTGTTGTCTCTCTCACACGCATGTTCAAATGACCCACCGTCCGCCGTCTGTGTCCTGACCTCGCTCTCTCTCCCTCTCCCCCCCCTCAGGTGTTCTACGTGTCAGACCTGTTCAAGCCCGGGGTGAAGCCGGCCACGCCCCCGCCCTCCCCGATCAAGAAGGAGCTGCTCCCTTCATCCGACATCATCGAGAGGAACAACCACCACAACATGGTGTGAGAGAGAGAGAGAGAGGCCGCACCTCTTTCCTGCGACCGAGGAGCCAATCACAGCGCTGCTCACCTCCCATCGGACAGTAGAATGTAGCGACGAGAGACTGTAGCTGCTTCTCAAACGGCATCCTCCTCCTCCTCTTTGTGGCGCTCAGCCGGGCGCCTCGTGGACTAGGGTGTCAGATTTGAGATTTGCACAGCAGAGTCCACTCTCACTATCCAGACTTGTTATTTACTATCACGTTAACTACTAATCAACATTTTGAGCCCGTCGTTCTGAGCACAAGACAGGAAAGAATTGGAAGCTAGAAGACAAAATGAATTCAGAAACTTTGATGACTTGACAGGCAGAGCTGAGGGTGTGGAGGTTTGATAGAAGTGTAAACCACGTAAAGAGAAAACACTTGTGAAGAAAATGAAGAAAAGAGACAAAATGAAAAAAAAAAAGAAAAAAGACAAACCCCCTGCCGAGAGAGAGGTGACCTTTCCTCTCTGAACTCTCTGTGGCCTTGGAACGCTGTAGGACAACAACTTCCTTAGCTACGGGAAGGATATTACTGCAATAACTAGCAGCATAGAAATATTAACAGTATAGAAAAATTATAACTTATAGCACTGTTTTTAAGTCCATTGTCCATTATCACCACTCGCTGCCTGAGATGTCTGACTGAAAGAAAGTTTGATGATGCTGACGTCCACGAGACAGAAACACTGACTCCTAGACGCCGACTGAGCCTGGTGTGGTCGTCTCACAAGACCTCATACGAGCTAAAGCTAGCATAGCATAGCATAGCATGGCTGAAGTAACGATAACCCTGTCAGGATCACACGCTGATCTCTTTAGGCCTCCATGACTGATCTCAGAGCAGTCCTCTGGCTGTCCTTCAAACCTTTAGCATTGGAAAGTGAAGCCCTCCAACCTCATATACCTCTGTCTCCAGATCGAGCACGTCAGGCTTTTTTGTAGTGGACTGTCAGTGCGGCCCAAACCCGGGATGTTGCATTTCTTGAGGGTTAGATGTAGTAAAGGGGGGAGGGAAAAGGGAGGGGGGGGGGTATTTTCTGTGGAAGGAGGGAGACAGATCTCACAGTCTCTCCCTCACCCCCAGCACCTGTACAGGAGGCGTGGCTGTGCCATGCCACTCTCTGGTGTTGGGGCCATGTGTTCAGCTTCCCAAACAGGAAGTAGAATGGGTGGGCAGAGTGAAGGGGCGTGGTCTGTCACCGTGGAAAGAGGGTGATGATTTACAGCTAAGCTGGCACATTATTTTGGGATGACTTGGGCTCTTTCCGCTGGCAGGGAGGGGCCTCTCACCCGCCCAATCACTCATTGGCAATGGATGTTTATCTCTCAATGTGTGTGTGTGTGTGTGTGTGTGTGTGCTGTACACTCTTGTGCTTGTGTGGGTACGCTTGTGCTTGTACATGTACATCTTGTGCGTGTGAATGTGTGTGTACATATGTGTGAGCGCTGTGCCCTGTGAAAACAACCCCCCCCCCCCGATAAACTACGTGTGTCAAATGAAACACACACACTGTCAGCTGTGCCAAGTGTGTGTGTGTTTGTGCCTGTGTGTGTGTGTGTGTGTGTGTGTGTGCCTGTGTGTGTCAGAGAGCAGGTGAACGTTATAAAAACTGTGGATCTAATATTTTTATTCTCTGCTGAGAAGCATCTTTAACCTTGTGTTTATAGCCTGTCCTGTATAATCACTAACAGTTGTACAGACACAGAAGCCCTTTTTATTTACAGCCGACTCAGACATCCTCCTCCAACAACACACTCCGCCATGTTGCACATCTTTCTCATCGTATAGTCCGTCCTATCATTTCACAAAGCCGTTTTCACTCTTTTTTATAAATATATAAATAATGTATAGATCACTAAAATTAACATGTTTAGATATATCCACTATGATTACAGACCTGTGTTCTTTACAAAATGCTGCTTAAAAAGCATCGATTGACAGATTTTTGTATCTAGACAACTAAACTATTGTAGATTGTAATAGTTATGTTTGTAATGCATTCAAAAAAAAATACATCCACAACTGTATTAAAATTCAATATTAGTATTTTTGTATTGTCTCGTTTTTTTGTACAAAAGAAATAGTAGCAAAGCTGTTTTTTCTGCTAAATGTACTTAGCTCTAATACATGTGCTTTTAAATAAAAAGCTCATTATGAACACAACTTGGTTTGTCTTGACTGTAAATTTTACATTTTGACTAAAGGTTATTGTATATGGCTTAATGGACTTTTGCTGTCATTTTTTATCAACTGTATTTATTGTTTTTGTTCAAGTACAGCAGCATCTTCCAACCTGCAAACACACGGCCACAACAGACACAAAGCAGCAACTAAAACAAACAACAAACTTGTTCACCATAAAATATGACATTATTCATTTGTAGAGTCCCAATATGTTCCATTAGGTGTATGTTCAGTTTTCCTGTCCTGGCTTTCAGAATTGATCCATTGTTCCAGGAGGTGAATAACACCACATGCTTTTCCAGCTGTGTGTAACAACCCTCATCTGTACCTGACAACATCTGAACTTCATCAGTACCAATTATAACATACGTATCCCCCCAAAATGAAAAATTATCATTTAAATTCAGAAGGGTGATATTTGCTGGACCTTAACTCTTGTCAGATAATGAAGTGATTCATAAAAGGTTTCCAGAGTTTGTAAAACGAATTCTCTTCTTGTTTCTTCTTGTGTGTGGATTCAGTTCTCTCTTTTCAATTTAGTGAGATTCTTTTGTTGTAGTTTCATCCCTTCGCTCTCACCATGTACAATAAAAACTGCAGTTAACAGAAGCCTGGAGTCAGTGGTGTGAGACAACTATGTTCATTACTCTGCACAGCAACTCAGAGGGACCAGCTACTGCAGTAAATAATAATAAATCAATATATGATAATATAAGATGTTAAGACCTGTAAGGTGGTATTTTGATATTGTGAGACTGCTGTTTCTACTTAGTGTAAGAAAGAGTTCTGAGAACTGCTTCATATAGAAGCTGCTGCAGTGGCCTTGGTTCCTTTTGTCTAAAATATCACATAAAGTACAAGTGTAATGACTCACACTCAGAAAAAGGCTCAGAAGTGTGTGTGATTTCACACTCTGGCAGACGCCAGACTGGAGGAGCTGGCGTCATTGTGTGTGTGTGTGTGTGTGTGTGTGTGTGTGTGTGTGTGTGTGTGTGTGTGTGTGTGTGTGTGTGTGTGTGTGTGTGTGTGTGTGTGTGTTGCCAAAACAAAAGAGCAGAGCTGCCATCATGGTTTATAATTCTGGGCTACATGTGAAGTGTCATTTTCTCCACCGCAGCATGTTTCACAGAAAAGCCTGAATGACTGTTCATCAGCTTCTTTAAAAGCTACACGGTGATCAAACCACAGCACGTCCACATACTGATGTGTGAGATATAATTTATGAGAAAATCTACAGCTCTACACACATCTGTAACACGGGTAACAAGAAAGAAAGAAATAAAGTAAGGAAGACAGAAAATAGAAAGAAAGAAAGAAAGAAACTCCCTCCAGCAGTGAATAAATGCTTCTTGCTATCCGAGTTAATTGAGTAAAAAGCCAATCACTTAACTGATGTTATCATTATAGTGGCACGCATGTTTCCCCTCGGTGTCCTGTAAAGTACAGTCTTTTATTGACAGTGACAGTACAGCTGGTCTGAGGTCAGTTGTAAAAAAAAAAAAAACAAAAAAAAAACCCAGCACCAAACTGAGATTTATGGTGCCTTTGAACAGCTGGTAGGCCTGGGGTCAGCCATGCATGGCTGTAATCGTAGAGGGCCTGCTGCTGAGGCAGAGGCAGAGAGAGGAGAGAGAGAGGGGAGAGAGAGAGGGAGAAAGAGAGGAGAGAGAGAGGAGAGAGAGAGGGGAGAGAGAGAGGGAGAAAGAGAGGAGAGAGAGAGGAGAGAGAGAGGGGAGAGAGAGAGGGAGAAAGAGAGGAGAGAGAGAGGAGAGAGAGAGGGGAGAGAGAGAGGGAGAAAGAGAGGAGAGAGAGAGGAGAGAGAGAGGGGAGAGAGAGAGGGAGAAAGAGAGGAGAGAGAGAGGAGAGAGAGAGGGGAGAGAGAGAGGGAGAAAGAGAGGAGAGAGAGAGGAGAGAGAGAGGGGAGAGAGAGAGGGAGAGAGAGAGGAGAGAGAGGGAGGAGAGAGAGAGAGAGAGGGAGAGAGAGAGGGGAGAGAGAGAGGAGAAAGAGGGGGAGAAAGAGAGGAGAGAGGGAGAGGAGAGAGGGAGGAGAGAGAGAGAGGGAGGGAGGAGAGAGAGGGAGAGAGAGAGAGGAGAGAGGGAGAGAGAGAGGGGAGAGAGAGAGGAGAAAGAGAGGGAGAAAGAGAGGAGAGAGGGAGAGGAGAGAGAGATAGGGAGGGAGGAGAGAGAGGGAGAGAGAGAGGAGAGAGAGGGAGGAGAGAGGGAGAGAGA